ATTATTCGAAGCAGCTCGATATCATAATGCTTTATTGAAGTGCATAGCTCCGTTAGTAGTTCGAAAAGATTCGAGCTTTTTTGTTTTATGTATCACTATGGTTTGTTATTGCTGTGGTTTGATCCTAAAAGTTTTTGGAAGTTCTACGGCTAAATGTTTACCTGGATTTTGATTCTGTTTTAAATCTTTAGTTTTTGGCTAAGAAAAAAGGTTTTAGGATATATGGGTTTATGTTGGGCATTTTCTTTCCACATGATTTTGCAATGGGAAGTCTGTATTTTTGCTAATGATGGATGATGTTGTTTGCAGGCATTTGTGAAAGCCCAGAAGTCGAACGCATATTTCAAGCGTTTCGAAGTCAAATTCAAGAGAAGAAGACGTAAAACACCAGTAACTGCTTGAGCTTTTTTTTTTTCGTTTGTTTAGTTGTACAGCTTAATGACTTTGTTAATTTCTAATCCAGAGGGGAAGACTGATTACCGGGCAAGGATTCGTCTTATCAATCAGGACAAGAACAAGTACAACACTCCGAAGTATCGATTTGTTGTGCGATTCGTATCCTGATAACGCATTTCACTTTGCCAATTGATTTACTGTGAATCCAATTGATTTCTAATTTTTCTGCCATTTGTTCCTTGATCCTTGATATACTTGTCACATTGACTAGTATCGTTGTCATGGCATGATTTATATTCTATTTTATATACATATGCCTTATATTTATATCGATCCATGAATATGTTTCATACATATTAGGCTTGCTAGATGTGATTCACTTATTTGATTTGTTGTTAATTGCCCGTAACTACAGAAATTGTATTACTTAAGATGGATTTTCTTGTTATTATGATATTGCCATTGTTCATTTGCTGTCTTGAGCCAAAATATATCGGGGCTCCTTAATTCAACTCTTAGACAAACAAAGATATAATCGCCCAAATTGTGTCTGCTAGCATCACTGGTGATCATGTCCTTTCTGCTGCCTATGCACATGAGCTGCCTCGTTATGGCCTTGAAGTCGGCCTCACCAACTATTCTGCAGGTATTGTCATTTTTTATTAGCTACAAACTACAAAAAAACTATTATTTTCCTCATCAATATTAGAAATTGAAAAATTCCCATGTGAACTAGCTTACTGCACTGGACTGCTTCTGGCCCGCCGTGTGCTGAAAAAGCTCGAGATGGATCAAGAGTATGAAGGAAATGTTGAGGTAAAAACATTTGATTCAAGTCCATTTGCATGCATGTTATGGAGAATGCTTTTATGTTCGATTCTGTGTTATTGGTGTATATTGAACTTTTTTCAGGCCACTGGAGAGGATTACTCTGTGGAACCAGCCGAGAGCAGGAGGCCCTTCCGCGCACTCCTTGATGTTGGCCTTTTGAGAACTACAACTGGAAACCGTGTCTTTGGTGCACTCAAGGTACATAATTGCTTAGTGGCAATTTCGGTATTGTTTTTTACAAATTTGTTGTATTTCATTGAATTGATCTGGATGTTTCAAATTTGTCGCATTGTTGTTAGTATTAGCTTCCTTGGTTAAATAATTTTCGAAAATGAAGTGTCATTCAAGAAAGATGATGCTTGTTACTCCAATCTTTTTTGCTCCCCCGAGTATTTTCTTTTGGTTTTTCCTTTCTTGGATATAATGTTTTTTGATGCAGGGTGCTCTTGATGGTGGGCTTGATATCCCTCACAGTGATAAGCGTTTTGCTGGATTTAACAAGGACAACAAGCAACTCGATCCTGAAGTGCACCGCAAGTACATTTATGGTGGCCATGTTGCAGCTTACATGAACGTAAACCGCCCGATTTCGCCATTTTTGTCCGTTATCACACATGGCTCGAATATGGTTTTGTTGTCCTAATCTAAATATCGAAATGGTGTAGACTTTGATGGAAGATGAGCCGGAGAAGTACCAGTCTGTGTTCAGTCAGTATATCAAGAAGGGCGTTGAAGCAGATAACATTGAGGACTTGTACAAGAAGATCCATGCGGCCATTCGTGCTGACCCAACAGAAAAGAAATCTCAAAAGCAGCCACCTAAGGAGCACAAGAGGTTAGATTATTTTTTTTTTTTAAATTAAATCGATAAACACGCTTCCGAATTGTTACTTGCTCCGTCTAGTTAGTTCTATCTAGTTCGTTTTTTGTCTCACATTTTCTGAAATTTAGTTATTGATACAAATTTTATTGAAAATCCATTCGACTCCCTACACAAATGGGTATTGGAAATTGAATTATGTAAGTGATTAACATTACCAAACCGATCAGTCAAGAACAAATGCAGTTAATTCATTTTGTATTTCAAAAGTGACAGAGACATTTCTTTTTCCCGGCTAATGTTTATGCTAGTGATGACAAATTCTCATGGATGCATACCATTGGTTGGGAGTGAAAAATATTGAAGTCAAAGAAGAAAGAAAAAAAAAAACTTAGCTTTGTTCGAGCATTTGTTAATTCATTAATTGGATCATTGTTTGAGATCAAGACTGCATAATTAACGTTGATTTGTAATGCCTTTGCAGGTTCAACCTAAAGAAGTTGACATACGAGGAGAGGAAGGCCAAGCTGATCGAGAGGTTGAATGCTCTGAATGCTGCTGCTGCAAATGGTGATGAAGACGACGACGATGATGAATGAGAGAGAAATCAACATTAGACGAAGAAGACCTGAATTCCTTTCAGTTTTGAGTATATTTTTTTTTTTTAAAAAAACTGGAAAATTATCCTTTCATTATTGGTTGTTACTTTTTTCACACTAGTTCAATTAAAACACAACACACGACTCATTTAAAAGGAAAACGCTCTATGAACTACTTAGGCTATGTTTGTAAAACAAAAATTTCGAACCAAATTAATTCATACTTAAAATTTAATTCAACTTTTAACTCAATTTCACTATTCTCAATATTATCAATATAATTAAATAATATTACCTCCTAATTTTAATATACGTTGTTTTGAGAAATTGAACATTAATTAAGAATATGTTTTTTTGTCAATAATAATTTTATTTAATGAAGATAGAGATGAATGTTTTGAGAAAAAGTGAAGTGTGAATATAAAAAGACGTAATGCATTTATTAGTTAAATTGAGTTAATAATGGAAAAATATGTACAAGAGATTCAAAACGATATTTATTTAGTTAATAGTTGATAAAGATAGAATGACATTTAAAAAAAATAGAAGGGAGTAATAATTAATCATTAAATAATATATATATATATATAATTACTAGCTAGTGCATTTAATAAAACATTTAATAAAATCAATTTACATTTCCCTCCAAAAGGAGTTACATTTTTTATTATTAATTACTCACTAATGTGCTAAAACCGTTACACCTTAATATATATATTTTTATTATTTATTTTTTGGATCAATTTCTAAATTAATTCTAAAATTGGTATCAAAATATTCAAATGTGTAACGGCTAATGTTGGAACTTAAAGTTAATTGACACATTCAGAGTTGTAACCGCTATATTTGGTTGCATTGTTGGAAGAAAAATATAATTACCACATATTTTTTTTTTCTAAAAATCAGAAACACCAATAATTTTTTTATGTTAATTTTCTTAATATATGCCACAGAAACACCAATAAATTTTTTTATTTATGTTAATTTTCTTAATATATGCCACAAATATATAAATTATTTTATTCATGTTATTAATGTAAACGTTGTATGATTAAAATAAAATTTAAATCTCAATTAGTTTTGAATGATAAAAATAACTTAAGAAAAAGTATAAATTTTTATATGAATAGAAGTACATGTCTAATAATTAAATACAAACAAAAACGTGTTTATATCTGTGCAAATGCACAGAATCAGATACTAGTAACAACTAATCATCTTTACATATCATATTAATTTTAATTTATTATTCATCCACTTACATAGTTTTAATTAACTCTCATTTCATATCATCTCCCTTTCATTTTTACATCAACTAGTTTTAACCTGTGCATTTGCACAAAAAGCTTTATGATAAAGAATAAATAATAAAAATTATAAACAATAGTAAAAATCATAACATAATCATCGAAAAAATGTTTTTTTTTTTTTAAAAAAAATTAATATTATTAAACACTTCTTTATGTGAAACATTCGTGGTTTTTTAATCGTCAGAATCTCCATCACCACAAATCATTATCTTCAAACCCCTTTGGCTCGTAATTCTAGAAAGCGCCACGTACAATTGTTCATGGTTAAATACAAGGCTCTTCAGTAGTAAGCTGATGTGCGAGAATTGTCCTTGACTCTTATTGATTGTCATAGCATAGGAAATGAGCAGAAACTGCCTGTGCTGAAACTTGAAAGGTACCCTCAAATCGGATGAGGGTGTATTCAATTAGGACTTTTAATGACTTTTTAAGACTTTTTAAAGTAGATGACTTTTGTGGACTTTATGCAACTTTTAATGACTTTGGAGGATTTTGTGGGATTGTTATGAAGACTTTTTAAGACTTTCAATATGAACTTTTTGGGACTTTTTAAGACTTTTATATAATTCTTTAATATAATAATATATTTGTATGCTCATAAAAATAATATGTGCATAATAACTAGTATCTATCAAGTCAAATTAGTAAATTATAAATTATAATATTAATTTAAGGCTTAATTGCAAATAAAACCACGACCTTTAAGCTTTTTGCACTTTAATCTCAACTTTAAGGTAATTGCAAATAAATCGTAACCTTTTTAAATTTTGGCAACTCGAACCCAATTTTACTTGCCGGCGAGTTTGATGCCTACGTGTCCGGGAAAAGGATTACACGCGTCAATTTCTTTGCTGATAAGGACGCTAAGCTGGCAAAAGTCAAACTTCTACATTAGACAAAAAACATAAATCATAAAATAAAGAAAGAAACAAAAGAAAAGGACAGACAAACATTATCCTCGCCATTCATCAATCCTTCTTCCCCAACCCCGGGTCTCGTCAAATTTCTTCTTTCATCTTTCGCCTTTCGATCGCCACCTTCCACTCACTTTCTCAAGCAACTGCTCCAAACTCCGCGGACCCCATTCTCTACGACATTCTGCCCTTCATACGCGTCTACAGAAACGGCATTGTTCAGAGATTCATCGACCAAGATTACGCCTCGCCGTCGCCAAACACCTCGGATCCCGGCGGCGTCCTCTCCAAGGACGTCAATGTCTCTGACAAATGAAGTTTCAAAGCACTCTGTGCGGAGGCCGGTCGTGGATGGTTGAGCCCGACGCACGGCTTATCGCGATTTTGGGGATTTTTTGTTGAAGCAATTTTTAAATTATTTTTATTTTGGGATTTGTTTGTTGTTGGCAAATGAGGATTTTTGAAGCACAATTAGGTTAATTTGATTGAATTTTTTCTTTTTATTTTGCATCGATCTGGGAGGCACCAGCAGTCTAACAGGCATAGAATTTACTAGATCTGTAATTTTTGATATTTGTTTTCAGTCTTTTTCCTTCTTCTTTTTTTTGAATTTTGTATTCCACTTAAGAGCCTGACATCCTAATCAACAAGGGAAAATGACACGTGTAATCCTTTTCCCGGACACGTAGGCATCAAACTCGCCGGCAAGTAAAATTGGGTTCGGGTTGCCAAAATTTAAAAAAGTTACGATTTATTTGCAATTACCTTAAAGTTGAGATTAAAGTGCAAAAAGCTTAAAGGTCGTGGTTTTATTTGCAATTAAGCCTTAATTTAAAATGTGTTATGAAATTAAACACTATCCACAACAAGAATGAAAATAAGAGAGAAAAAAATATTATAATAAATGAAATCGATATGGAAATAAAAATGAAAAATATTCATCAATCGAACAAAAGAGTACAATAGTTATCTTATTGACATTGTACGGGAATTAGAAAAATAAAAAAGAGCAAAAATGAAATAAACAATACATCAAATATTTCCAACATCATTCCACATGTTCGTTGCCAAACTCAATCTCCACGCATTTGCAGCTTCTCTTTCAGTTTCTTGACTCTCAAAATATGATCCAAAATTTTGCGCTTCATCTTCTGTTGAAACTCCATCTTCAACATCAACTGAAAATTCGTTAGACCGAAACTCTTTGCACAGAAAATTATGTAATCCTGCGCAAGCTAAGACTAGCTCTGCTTGTGTACGATATGGGAAAGGAGGGGCTGCTTTGAAAATTGTGAAACGAGATTTAAATATGCCAAATATTCGCTCCACCACATTCCTCAAAGAAGCGTGACGAAGATTAAATAATTCCTTTGCATTTTCAGGATGACGCCCTTGACCAGAAAAATCTTGAAGGTGATATCTAGTACCTCGAAAAGGAGCCAAAAATTGACGCCGATTTGGAAATCCACAATCCACGAGAAACCATTTACCTGGATACAAAATAATTAATTGTCAACTCATAAGTCATATCAGGAAAAATGTATATGTGAATGATCTTTTTTATTTTTTTTAATCATACCTTGAGGTACTTTGAGTCCATTTTTCCTAGTTAAAGCATCACTGAGTATTTTGGAGTCATGTGCTGAACCTTCCCAACCGCTAAGTACATAAATGAATTCTAGACCAAAGTTGCAAGCAACCAAAACGTTTTGTGAAATAATCCCATGGCGATTTCTATGACTTGGGGCATTATTTTCAGTCACCATTGCCGGAATATGAGTTCCATCGATAGCTCCAATAGCATCCTGAATAACCAAAAGTTTTGTAAATAATGATAAGAATAACAATGATAAAATCACTATCTAACAATAATACTAACACCAAATCTAATTTAAAAAAAATAATACCACTTACCTTGAAATAAGGATAAAACCTTGTGTTCTCTCTTATTTTTTCTGGGACTGTAGATCCTGGTTTGACCATCATATCAACGGTAAGCCTTTTTAATATTTTTAGAACCTTGTTGAAATTTCGGCTTGCTGTGAAATGAGACCGGCCATACATTTTACGAATAACACAATAACGACTATTTTGACTAACGATGAGCAAGAACATTGCAAGCATTTCTTCGATACAGATGTACCTTGTATCTTCTAGTAAATTTTTCTCTTATGATGCAAGATAGTTTTAGAAACACTTGAGGATACATCCTATAAATTTCTCGAAAGTTATCTGGGTCTTCTCTTAAAATTTTATTTATATAATCATGCCCATGACTTGTTACCGGTCGCCTTGCCAATGAGCGGTTTGTCCTTGAAATGAGGAAGTGCTTATATGCTCGTTCAACAAGCAGAAAATTGTTTGAATTGCCAAGCACAACAACCTATTAGCTTCATGTAAAGTCTCTTCATAGTCATTTTCCTCATTCTCTTCCATGATGGTGTCATTGTCTCCATGCATCATGTTCTCAGACATTATGTGAATACAAGTACCTAAAAAAGAAAGAGCGAAAAAAAAACATTATCATCAATGGTATGAAAGGCTTATCAATAACAATAATATTAATTTCAAAACATCATCGACATAATAAATAAATAAATAACCATTGGATTGGTTAATACCCCAAACAAAGTTCAAATTCCATATGCATATATCCTTAAGGGAAAATAACAAATACTATGCCAAAAAATCACAGTTAAAAACATCAACTACTTATTATGTCACATGGAGCTAGAATAGATCATTTTAATTTATATGAAATCCATCTCAAACGTTCTTCTGGTGCCATATTCCAAAACTCTGCTTTCTTTGCTCTAGTATTAAGCAAATCAAGGACCTTGAAGCGGGAATCGTCATCTAAGTTTGGAATCTCTTTTAAAATGCCCCAACAGTTATACTCTTTAGTGTCGACAGACTCTGTGAGGTTGCCAGGGTCAGAGGCAGTGCTTTTGGGGTTTGCTTCAAAATTAGTTATGTTTCGCTTTCGAATGGATGGACGTTTTTCTGAACTTTTGTGTTGAGCGAATGGTGGAGAGTGCATCGGAGATAATGGCATATCGTCAAGAGGGTTATTAGTGTTAACGAACACCTCAGAATCTGGATCAAGCATCGGGTCCCCTATGGAATTAATATTTTCCATTCTTTTTTCCGTCTCAAAAATCGTTTCTTCAACATCATCGCCTATTGCAATTGAGTTTGTGCCAATAGCAGTTCCACATCCAACAACAATTCTCAGATCTTCATAATCAGAAAAAGTGTCTGTTTTGTAACTCGTATCCCCAGGATGAGACTAGTAAAAGAAAAAAAAAAGTCATTTAAGCACTATGGTATGAAATATTTTAATCATATCAAGTATTATCAATAAACATGCCTACCCTAAAGTATTCGTCCCACACATGCTCATCAGCAGTAAATTTCTTGGTCACGTCATTCCAGCCAAAGCCCGAGTTATGTCGCATAAGCTTGGCATATTTATCGTATTGCTTCTTAAACCATTTTACACAACTTTTATATTGAGAATATGTCTTCTCAGTTCCAAACTTTGCATTAAGAGAGGGCAATATATGTTTCTCTACAGTTACTTTACTCAAATTTCCAGACTTATCATGCCATCCGCGCTTGGCTACATCAACTATGAGTCTAAGCAATTCATTACTCTCTTCTGATGTCCATATTTCGTATCTCTGAACTTTTTCATTTCCTTGTGATGAATCTACCATTGCTACAAGCACCTAAATTTATAAACACTTGAACCAGATAATACTTCGATCATTAAGTGCATAAAGTCTAAGGCTGCTAATTTACATGATATGCCCAAAATAAAATCTAGAATATGTTACCTAATGGAACACATTGCAATCAACGAGCCACATTACTAATTAGCTTTGATAAACACAAAATGCAAACATATATTTTACCTGTCAGTAAGAAAGCTTAACTGGTCTGGTGAAGATGAAGCTCTCCAATTAAATTTCAATAATAAAAAAAAGAAAAAAACTTTCATATTCAAATTTATGTGTGATACTTACAAAAACAAAACAGAAAACAATAAAATAGTGACAAATATTAGTTTTAAAACTAATAATTTTCTTTCAAATGGTATCCAAAAGCTCTTTTTATTCTTTAACAGAATCATGAGTTCACTTATTAAACCATGTTTAAAAATATTTCTCATTGCAGGGCATAGAAATAACTTTAACACAATAAATCTCTTATGATGATTGATAATATTTTTATCAATATGAATATTATGAATCCTAAAGAGGCCAATCAAACAAATTCTCTTGAAATTAATCCAAAAAGGTGAAGCAAATAAAAAAGTCTCCAAAAATCTTTTTTGTTTTTTTTTTTTTCTCAAAATCTCATAAAATCTTTCTAACTTGAATAACATGTAACTTATAGGGATTCTTGGAAAATTTTAATTGAATACCTTAAAATTTTTGGAGACTTTTAAAAAGTCTTAAGAAGTATTAATTGAATACATGTAAACCTTTTGAGAGTCTCACAAAGTTTCAATTGAATACCCCTAAATTTTAAAAGTCTTTAAAAGTCATTAAAAGTTCTAATTAAATACACGTTTCTACTGGGGATTTATCCTTGGAAAAAGCTACTTGTACAACTTTTTTTTGTTCAATGACAACATGATGTGGCATAATGTGACTAGTTCAGATGCAATTAAATGTATAATTAAAATTTTAGTTAATGATACTTTTAACTAAGTTGTCAACCAATGTTGTAAACTACAATTGTACATGTAGCATTGCCCTTTATCCTTTTCAGTATTATTTGTTACTTTCTCACAAATAGTTCAAAAAAAAAAAAAAAAAAAAAAAAAAA